TTTGGAACTTTTCCAAATTTTTAATGGTCCCGACACGAGATCCAAGGGAGGGAAAAATTAAAATTTCAAAAAAATGCGATGCTGAGTGTCATAGTTTCGCCTCCCCCTAGGGATCTGGTCCGTGGGGACCGTGAAACGTGAAACGCAGCGTGTACTTATAAACTTCCGCAACGTACATCGTACGACGTACGCTACGTGCTTAAGAAAAGTTGGACAAATCTCGTTTCTGTGTGAACGGAATTGTTAACCGAGACCATATTTGGAAAGAGCATTATTCCAAACAGATTCGACCGAGTATAAATACTAGCAGGTTATATTAGAATGAAAATAGGTTTTTGTAAAAAAAAGAACGTTCAGATCATCGTTCTCCGAAACGATTTCTGAAAATACTTACTGCATGATCATCAGAGTAGAGAGTGCACACCTTATCTGGAAGGAAGTGGGATGAGATGCAAAAAAAAATAGACAAAATTGGTTGAGATTTGGTCGAGTTATGAGCATTTTATTGAAATTGATTCGATCGGTAAGTCCGCAATTTCACGTGGTACGTGAAACACGACCGCTCACTCGAAAAGCTAACCTTAGAAAATGAACTGATTCGAAGCCGAGAATTATTTTTTTTTTTTAGAAAAATGAAATGACAGCCGTTCCATTTTGAGAATCTGAAGCGAATGGAGCGGTGGTGCATCAGATATTAACGATAGCACATAAATAGCCATAACTCTCTTGGAATTGAACGAAATTTCACAAATTTTTTTTTGTTTGAAAGCCGTGTGGAAGAAGAACAAAATAATAGGATCTGCGTAGTGAAAACAAATATATCGAAGAAGGGTGCGTTTTATGCTGACATGTGAGTAAGTTTTCAACATATTCCTGTTCGTTTCAGATTAAACAGCAAGAATTCTTGTTATGAGATGGGTCAGAGCATTTCATTCTCTCCCTCGAAGAACCTAATGATCGTAGAACGATCCTGCTCGACTCTTCGGCAGAAGATGAGTAGATTCCAGGAAGGTAGACCCCTGCAAATAATCAATCAAGCACAGTCTCTTAGTTATAGAAATTTACTCTTGTTCGTATCTCCTGTTCGAATTCGTTCACAATGTCACACACTGAACGATCTTTTGTTTCCGGAAGATTGCTGACACAAACTACGATTATCAATTGATTCACAAACTAACTTGAAAATGTAAAAAATCAGCAGTGGTTGAAGAACCATGAGCATGAGGAAGTATAAAGGAGGCCATGTTGCATAGATGAAAGGAAAGCAATTCTGAGGAATTGACAAGAGAAAGGCTAATCCCAAGGTGAACTAAAACATCATTTCGTTACGTTTTGTGATGTCACTAGATGAGAGTGACATGATAATACAAATTCAAGAGATTGTTAACATAATTGCAAATTGAACTGTTCGCCACGTGAATCGTCATTCTCTCATCAACTAACCTGCATAACTGACACTCTAGCCATCGGTGGAATGAGTTCAGACACAAGAAGGACGTTTATGACGGCAAATCCAGTAGCGTTTACTAACTCGGAGAGGAATTCGTTAATATAGACTGAACACACATAACTCTGCTTGGACAAAAATTAGCAACAACCTATGGAAATGGTGATAACAGATGGCCCAGACGTAACCAACAGCAGATGGGCGAAAGTCATCAGACCAACTTTCGTCAAACTGAAACACTCTGTTTTAAGGCTTCGATCGAATACGTCTTCTGCCTTAGAATAGCTAGAATGAAAAAAGTGGGTCTTCTGCCAATCTTATCCAAGCACGTCGTTCCTATTAGACGAACTGGAGCAATGATGAACCGTGATAACAAGCTCAGGTTGAGTGACTGAACCGTAAGCATTTCAAGATCTGAGAAAGACACCTACTTGTGCAGCTGTTAATCCCAGATGAGTGTTGACCAAAACAGAAAACTGCATTTCAACGCCAGAAACTGATAAAAGATGTTGTAATTGAGTAGCTATTATCAGGACCATGGCCTATGAAATAGGGAAGCGTCATTCTGACATCAGCGAAATAGACTTTACCGCTCTCAGTGAAACATCTTTCAGAACTTCTCGAATCTTCATTGTATGCGAAGATTTCAGCTCACATTCGCTTGTAATAGATTTCAGAACGTAGTCTAAGAAATCACTTTAAATAAGAAGTTATGTGAATGAATCAGTACCTACATCTACATCTTTACCGTGGAAATAAAGAATGGATTGCCGAGCATCAGCTAACCTTCCTTGGCTAACAAGCCATTTGGGAGAGTCTGGGAAACGACAGGTACAAAAGTAAAGAGCAAGACATCTATAATGGGTGGTTGTGAAATCAGTTGTTAAGACCCACATACAAAACCAATGTGAAAATCGAGACAATATACCAACGTTCAACAGTCCCCAATACGTTCGGATTGCACAAGAAGAAGCTAGACAGGAAGAATGAGAAAAAATTATTACGACTTACGAAACAACAGATGAACTTAGAGTTGATAAGAGGAGTGCGGAAGATACGAACCCTCGGTGACTGTCTGGTGCGCATTCGGTCAAGTATAGCTGGTTCATGTTTATTTGAATGGCCGCAGCCATTCCTACGACGAACTAAAAGAAATTATTATCATAATCCAAATCATTCATGAAATACTTGAGCTATGAAATAGAACTCTGCTGAATCAAGTTGTGAAGCACATATTTGACAAACGGCAACCGTGACTCCGAGAACCGTTCTGTAAGCAAAAGCAAGACTCTTTGATGAGAGGAGCAAACACTACCGAAGATGGATTGAAACGAATTTCCGCCCTTTGGAGTCTAGTAAAGGAGTTATACAGACAAGTGAGAAAACTAATCCAATCTTAGTTAGAATACTCATCACAGACGACACGGCCGAAAGTCTGGAACGCCTATAGTTGAATTCAAATGCTATACAAGTCAAACCCTTTCTCATCTGCATAGATCCCATAATGCTTGACCAGAGTAGCATTATACATAACATCTAAAGGACCAGGTAAGGCACCATAGATACTCATCTGCATATCTACATAGAACCCGAATACCCCGAAGCTGAGGAGAGCGAAGAGTAAGTTTCTAGAAATCATTTTGGTGGTGTCAGCGAGGGATGTTGTTCATGCACTAGGTATAGGAATTCCAACAAGTAGAGGAACAGCTCAACTTTCTACAGAAGATGAGAGACAGTGAACATGGACGAAAAGTGCGATTCCATTACCCATAAACGTTTTATGGCTCATCTTATCTACAAAAAAAAGTTTTGAGCAGACAGATTTTTTCGAACTCGCACTGATAAAGATCCTGGAACTGGACAACAGCTGGAGACGCTCCCTGGGGGGGAAAAAAGAAATCAGATGATAATGTCTCGAATTGATTACAGAAAGACCTCAATGATTAAGTTGGAAAGATAACAAACTGCAGTTTCGTTTTACGTTTGCAGAACTATCGTGTCAAGACTCTTTCCACTCATCACTGTAGTTCAACAAAGTACAATATAGGCATAAGTTAGTTATAATTTATCCAAGACTCCCAATGTAAGGGTAGCAGAATACTAACAACTACGAGATCAGATTAGAGTTTCATAGCCATTTTGTACTACGTGATTCAAAGTATTACGGCGAGAGGGCAGAAGAGTGATCCTTTCAGAAGTGCTCGTGTTCGTCTATGATTTTCATCTTTAGGATATAACTTGAAGTAATATCCAAACCCGTGATCGAATCTCCTGTTCGAACGAATGTACAATGTCATAAGTGCTGCGCGCTTTAGTCTCAGGCAGAGTGCTGCAAGTAATAAACGAAAGATGTTTAGCATCAACTTTTCCTCACTCGAAAAGATAATAGAGAATGACTGGCTGAATCATCAACATGAACAAGAAATAAGCCGGTGGACACAGAGCGTTTATGGTTGGGAAAAAAATGAAAGGAACAGAGCAAATCATGGGAGCAATGAAGACCAACTTCAAAGCCAAAAATATATTTAAAAGGAACCTCTCACAAACCTGCATTGCAGAAACTCTTGACGACGGAGGGAACAACTCTACAATCAGGAGGTTCGGTAGTCCCCTTATACCAGTTGCGAAAAACATCTCAGAGAGAAATTCGTTCATAATTCCTGAAAAGCGATTCATCTAAGTGAGGCTTCCGACTAACCGAGAGCGATAGTTAGTACAGAAGGAGATGAGAAGTAAATGATAGACATCGCCCCCGCCATGATTACTAACTTGAGAACACTGCAATGAAAACAATTGAAGGCACAGATGCGTATACAAGTAACCTTATGAATCCAGCCAGAAATAAGACAGGACGTCTCCCATATTTGTCAATAATGATGGTACCAGTGAATCGCAAAGGGCAGAATAATAATCGGATTACTAATACAATGATCAAAACCTGTAAGAACATTAACTCCCTACATTTTCATCGCAGGACTAACCTCATCTGCTTGCAACCCTAGAGATGAGTATATCATTACCAAGTACATGCCTTCCAACAGAGCAGAAGAAGTAACTACAAAAGTACCACAAGCCACAACAACTTTCAACGACTAGTACGACATGATGCAATTACAAAATCTTTATCTCACCTCTCGCAAAGTCAAATCGCTGAGAACTTCCTTGAGAGTCATTTTCTCTGATAGGTTTACTTCCTTGATCAAGGAATTCATCACTTTGTCTGTAAGCGAGTAAAAAAGATACAACACTGTGTAACAGTACCCATGTTTGCTTTTTCTCCATGATAATGACGAATTGAAGTTTTTGCTTCATCCCATCGCTCTTTTAGGACTAGCCATTTAGGGGAATCAGGAAGTTCGTATGTGAAAAGAAACAGAGCCACACATCTTCAAGACCCTTCAAATCTAAGCAAAAAGAGTATCAGCTTACAGAACTATTGAGATGACAGGTATATAAAGCAGAAAGTCTGGGTTTCCCAGAACACTCTGGTTACTCAGGAGATACCTAGAAACAACAACATGACGATAGTGAAAGAACAGAGGAGGATTGATTGAACTAACAACTATGAGTAACATCAGAATCAAATTTACATTAATATTGCTGCAAGTGTATCTCCAGCAGCTAGTACGGTAGAGACAAAACCTTAAAAGAAAACATCAGTGTTTTTTGAGAGAAGGGGAAACCTCTATGTTCATCTGGAGCACATTCAGTCAAATACAATTGAGAGCCACAATTAGAAAGAATGATCATAACACCGGTCAAGAACTAAAACATTAGCATATACGTTTCCGAGATATCCACGCATGACGTGGAATTAGACGCAACCCTATGTAGCAACGTTCATTTCGGTTTGTACGTGTAATAAACGGTTGTTCTCTAGAACTGTGCGAAAAACAACATATTTTGGGACAGGTTGCTCTATTTTGTGTCAAAGACGTGATTTCAAACCTGTGCAAACAGAAAGAACTCTGCTGATTCCAGTAAAATTGTGCAAAGCTGACAGACACCCACAAGAAATCCGAGTACACCCCTGAACCAAGTTGATTAATGATAGGAAAATTAGAGAAATACCTCAAGTACACATTAACAAACTTTCTTCCTCTCTTATCGAGAAGAGGAAGTACTTTTGACAGAGAGACTCCTGTACCTATTGAGAGAGCTATTATCATTGCTGTGGAAACCAGAGACAAGCTTGAGTAAAAATTTGGAAAAATCAAAAAAAAACCAAGTTACCCTTTGGCATCAGCATGAATGGAATAATGATTGATTAATGTCGCATTATAGATATTAGCGAGAGGGCCTGGCAACGTACTGAACATCAAAGCTTGGATGTCTGTATAAATTCCCAGTAACGCATAGCTTAATAGAGAAATAGTCAGGTGGTGGCTGATCATTCTCGAACGGTGTGCAAACTCATAATCATCGCTTTCGTATCAATCCGAAGGAACTGCTGCCGTTGCATTTTTCATTTTAAACCTGAGTTTAGCACTAGATTACTGCATTTCTGCAATAGTAACATTCGAAGGGAAAAAAATACAAACCAACACACACATCGCTTATCGTCCTTCTATCTTCATTTACCTCTTTCAACGACTCGATCATGTTCGGTTCAAGAAGGTCTTGTTCGTGATCCTGCTTATTTGAAAAGATGAATTGTCAGAAAAGGCACTGTTCAGCATTTCGAACATCAGCCTGTGAATGACGAGATTGGGTGCAAATTCGAAAGTCATCCTACCGGATTCACCTTCTTCGCGCAGAAAAAGGGGTGGAGCGTTCTCGGCTGTTTCCGAATTTGAACCAATTTTGTTGTCGGAAGTGCTTTCTATTTTCAAGACTCCTTAATGTTTCCTTTTCTTGTTCAGTAAATTATACTTTTCAGAATGGCTTTGGTACCCATGATAATAGAAGGAAAACGAGTTTTGAGCCATAAAGGCCATGGAGCAAAAAGTAGGGATTTTTTTTATAAATTCTTCAGAGTAGTTCATGTTTTAGGCTCCACGTTTGAAAATGGAGCTTTCTTTGCCGATATGTGAGTTTTCTTTTAAACCATCCTAATTCTTTTCGTTTCAGGTTAAGGAAAAATAATGCAGGTTACGAACTCGGAACGAGTCTTCTTGGATCTGCATTGGAAGCCATAAGGTTTCTTATCCAAGAGTTCCCAAAGTTAGACAAATCAGAGGATCCTTTTAATGTATGGTTTTTGGTCGACACTACTTGTCCACATGTAAATACTTGTGAATAAATAAATTTCTAATACTGAGCGCTATTCGAACTTTCTCTCTTTCTCTCTGTCTAAGACTAACTAAGACGAGCTTTTCCACTTTTTTTCAAAATCATCACTTCTGGTCTATCTTCACACTTCAAAGATCTCATCTGTCGGTCTGACCTTTCTGAACTTTTTTTAAAAGCATCCTCAGCAGCTGTTCTACCGAAAGCGGAAATTGCAAAGTTCCGGGGTGACAATGACTGTTTTATTATCCAATTAATGTTGCCTGAAGAACATTTTATGAAATATACCTTTCAGATTTTACATCTTCTAGGGCAGCTTGTGTCTGTGATGTGTGGTGAGGGGGGCCGTCAAGCTGTGCTTGATAGATAAGCCCAGTCGTTTGATAAATGACCATTTCTGATTAAACTTCGAGCATATGTAATGTAGGAGACATTTTTTGAAACTAACTTTCGTGTCAAGATTATTTACAAACGGAATGCCTTTTGAAAGTTCCATCATCCACCTACGTGTGCAGCAGTTTGGAACAAAGAGTAAATGATCTCAAGTAAAATTAGTTGTTGTGACTGAAAAAAACATATTTACAACATCTCTTAGACATCTCTAATGCAAGGTGTCTTTATACTTGCGCCTGTTCGATCGCCGACGTCTTTTAATCTGAAATGTTCGGTAGACAAATATTAATTTCTTTCTTATATATATTCACCTTGTTCCCGCTTCAAAGTTCAAGCTATTCTTAGGTTTTTGTTAGTTGCTGTCCATCTATTCGTCATAAAGCTCGGCAGCCAGTCATCTTCCACAAATATCCATTTCTCTTGAGCTTTTCGTCTCGATCAACTGTTTGAAATGAATCGGTTGGTAGGGGAGAAGAGGAAGATGCGAAGAGCTCATTGTTCCTATAAATTCACACATCCTATCAATTCATAGACAATAAATCGAGCTTTTATTAATTACTTCAAGATGTATGATTATTCATTTTTCCTTTTCCCTCTATCTACTATGAACGAAAGCATTCAACTCTTCATTGCTTGGCTTCAGGTGTGTAATATGAGCAATATCTCCTAGTTTCTTCACCCTCACTCCGTACGGCTCTTCTTCTTCACTCTCCTCCTCACATCTCTCATTTCCTTTTGACTTATAGCCTCAAACGCATTCATTTTTCTTTTCTCCGAAAATTATCTTAATTTACTGTCTATTTAAATGATATGTGAAAAGCAATTTACATTTCTTCTAAAGCGTTCCTTTCCTCCAAGTCTTCCAATGTTTCATTCCGAGAGTTTGTCGTGCTTAGTCTGTAAGATAAACTTAACTAGTGAATAGAAGAATTATCATCTCACCAATCATATGTATTTTAATAATTTGATAGATTGAACCTATCTAATCTCATTAGCATATTCACCGACGCGCACGTGAAAATCCACGTGAATAGAAAAACTTAATCATTTCTCATTTATCTCACCAACAGTGCGATTGCATTCATTATATCTCCTCCCTCGTCACCACAATATTCCGTCAAGCACAGCTACTTGATAAACGTCATACGTTTCATTATTATCACGAAGAGCATGACTACTCTTCAGAAGTCTTGTAAAACGACCACATGGCAGGCAGGTGTGTCCAGCTGCCAGTGAGGTAGCTTCTCACATGTCTTCCGAATTATTTTCCAAATTCCGACCTGGTTCTCTATTTTCAGTCTCAAATGTCATTCATATCCCATTCGACTCTTCGCATTATTCTATAATGAACAATATCAGTGAACTTCCTTCTAATTTTTTATCACCATATGTTGGGGAAAAGATACTGAGAGCTTTAAACTTCAACTTTTCGATTCATTTCTTTTATAGCCATCGAAAAAGCTATTTGTGAGGGAGAGACGAAGAATGTTCTGCAATTTCGTGAATGAGAAAGCTTTTTGTCGTGTAGTATCTTCAACTCATATAAATTTAGTATTTGTTAAAACATCTCAACAACCTGTCTGTTTCAGCTTCTTGCTATTGGCGTTAAGACGTTGCCATCAAGTTATAGAACTTTGTAATGATATCAGCCAATGGAAATTAAATGTTGTCTATGTTTGGAAGGTACCCGGATCATATTCGAGGACGAAAGCGGAAATGATCCAGCTTCAACTTATAAAATGTGTCAAGGATTAGTTCATGTCAAGGTACGTACTTGCATCTGGAACGAGAACAATGAGGAACTTACAGAGGGCATGCTTCTATGTGGGAGTGTCAGCCATCGTACTATGTATTTTCTCAGCCATATGCATGGTATTCGGAGTGTATTCTGTTAACTTTTGGTTAGATGTCGTCTTAATCCTCCTGAATCTCATAGTATCCATAATATTAATGATAGGATTATATTATGATAGCGCAAACTTACTCATTCCTTTTATAGTTAGTGAGGTAATAAGAAATGCTCCTTCTCTTTCTCATTCACTATTTCAGATATCTCAATGTGTAGGATTTTTCGTATTAGCAACGTACACCCTTTACTATACGTTCACCTTCAAACGACAACGTTTCTATCAGAAGTTCGGTAGGAGACTTTCATTCTTCATTAGTACGACCATCTATTCAGACCAAATGCTGATGGTCATTTCCATATACTTAGGCATCATCGTCTGTGCCTCCGCTGTTTGGGCTGCAGCTAAATGTTATCATTACTTAAGAGACAAATCAAACCACAATATTCCAGAAAGCCGTAGTATGTGGAGATAAGTACTTTCCTCCGTTTTAAATTGTTTCTCTTGTTCTATCTTATCCATCCTTGTGACTTCAAGTCATCTTCAAACTATTCTTTCCACGGGTTTCTCTTTTTCTTCATCGTCCTCACTCGATACTCAGATTGCTTGCTCTTAACTTTGTTACCTTTGGAATAAAAACTTCGGTCAGTCTTGCTACTCAGCTTAGATAGATAAGCTTCCGTCAGTTCCCCTCTTTTCAAAACTTCAATCCTACATTTTATTTTAAAACGAAAAAATTATGAAGTATAAAACGATCTTCTATTGATACAGACTAGTCAGTAAGGAAGTAGGAATTCTCGAGAAAATAATTAAGCCTCAGAGAGGGCATGGACTCCAGGAAGTACTTTGCCTTCCAACAATTCCAAACTAGCACCACCACCAGTAGAGACATGGCTGACTTTGTCTTCAGCATTGAACTTCTTGGCAGCAGTAGCAGTGTCTCCACCACCTGAAAGTAGTATAACTGTCTGAAAATCCTTTTAAGAAATGAGTACCAATGATTGTAACAGATCCGGCAGATGTCGAAGCAATGATAGCATCCATCATGGAACGAGTACCTTGAGCGAACTTCTCGAACTGAGAGAAATGACGTTATTAAACTACAGAGGGTACTTTGGCAAAACCTCAAAAACTCCTGGTGGTCCGTTCCAAACAATTGTTTTGGCGTTCTGAATGGCAGAAGCGAAGATCTTAGAAGACTCTGGTCCGACATCAAGACCCATGTGGCCTTAAAACAGAGCTTTTTTGATAAATATGAGGATATTGAACCTTCAGGAACTCCTTGAGCAGCTGCAACAACGCTGACGGAGGCATCTTCTGCGAATTTGTCTCCAACAACGAAATCGACTGGCAAATGAATCTTGACATTCTTGGCTTTAGCCTTTTCCAAGATATCGTTCACGATCTTGGCTCCCTAAAAGTGATATGAGTTCTCGAAGAAGTATCACAACGAACTTCTTCATCGTAGAGAGAATTTCCAATAGAAACTCCTTGAGCAACTTTCAAGAAGGTGAAAGCCATTCCTCCTCCAATGATCATTTCATTTACTTTGTCAATCAAGTTGTTGATGAGTTGGATCTTGTCCGCAACCTTAGCACCTCCAAGGATAGCGAGGAAAGGACGAGCTGGATCATCCAAAGCCTGAAACCTATGTATTAGATTGGGTAATTCCTTCAATCCTACTTTTCCGAAGTAAACGAGTTCATTTTTCATTAAGTAACCACAAGCTTTTGGCTCGAGATTGACACCAACCATGGAGCTAAACACAAGGAGAGAATAGAAAGAAGATTCGACATGGCAGCCTCACCTGTGAGCTCTATGGGCAGTACCGAAAGCATCATTGACATAAACATCTCCAAGTTTGGTCAAAGAAGCACGGAACTCCTCAACCTTGGCTGGATCAGCTTTGACCTGAACTAAACTGTTAGGAAACGGGCAAGAGAAATGAAAACCTTCTGTCCATCCTCGCTAACACCCTTTCCTTCTTCTTCAATGTGGAATCGAAGGTTTTCAAGGAGGAAAACGGAACCATCGGTTGGGTTTTGAAGAGTAGATTCAACCTCAGCCCCAACACAATCGGAAAGGAAAACAACTTCTCTTCAAAAAGTTTACATGAGTTTGTTTTGATTTGATATTCGATACCTGTCTAAGAGCTTGCGGAGCTCATCAGCAACAGGAGATAAGGTGTACTTGAGTTGAACACGACCATCGGGTCTTCCAAGATGAGACATCAAAACAACAGCCTTGGCTCCATTATCCAATGCATACTGGAATTAACGACTTGAGTTGTTTAAAGAGAATGGAAGTAACCTTAATGGTAGGAAGAGCGGCGACAATTCTCTGGTTGTTGGTGATTTTTCCCTCCTTCATGGGTACGTTGAAGTCAACACGGATGAGGACTCGCTTTCCGCGAACATCGACCTGGAGATATTTTGTTATTAGGAACAGCAACAACCGTTATCAGTGCGTGGAAGCGTAACATGTAAAAATCATTTTTGAATGTGAGGTGTTCAGACACGGTTGTGTTCAGAAGTTCAGACAGATTAAATCAATTGTTTTCAAATATTACCTTATCAATGGAAAGCTTGCTCAACTTCATTCTGATAGTCGTTTTACGGATTGTATATCCTTGGTTTGCTGAACCTAGAAGTAAGTTTGAGAAAAGTTTGAAGAACGTCTGAAGGTCAGTTATTCGTATTCGATCGTTAACGAGAGAACAGAGGTAAGGTTGTGGAGGAGACACAGCTAGATACTAAGCGAAAACGACTAAGATTTATTCAAAACTATGTAGAAGAAATTGAAAGAGCACACAACTGCAATCGAGACCTGATGACTTCACTGCTTGAGGGTCGGAGTGCAGAAGATAATATAATAAAAAAGGCGCGGAAATTATTGGCATCTTCCAATAATTAAAAGTTAATAATCGATAGATCAATAACGATTTGTTAAAAACACGAACAAGCGATAAGACGCAAAGACTAGAGAGTAAGAAATCAGTGTTGTATGTGAAAAAGGGAGTTGGCCAGTTGGGACATTTTGCGCTGAGAGAAAAAATGAGAGAGAGTGAGAGTAGCCGCAAATCAATGATGCCGAGGCGAAGTGTTCCAAATGTTGGGAATGGCACGTATTAGAATCGCCCCTGTCATATCAACTGCATGTTTCCTAGAAATAACAAAAAATTTGATAAACCAACAGTGTGATTGCCATAAAAAGCAGTCAACCATGATCGACTGATCACGAGAGGCGATTGAGTATTCAAACGTTTATTTGAACTTAGAAAAAACAAAAAATCTATATAACAACTAACAAATCCAACAAATGATTATTGCGAACTTTCAGTTGACTTTTCTGAAAAGACAACATTACGTAACAACTCAGTATCTGATGTAAAACCTCTTCTGTGACCAGATCGTAAGAGTCTGATTAGGGTTGCATCAGCTTCCAGTAAAGTTAGATCATGCTTAGATCCCAGGAATCGTTCACTCAACTCCGTGTCATGAAGCCGTACAAGAACTTGTGATCCTGTTCTGTAGCTTCTGCAAGAACTCTAAAGTTTCCAGAAGACCGATTCTAAGCCTTACTCAGAGTCTAAGGCAGGAACTTTGCAAACAGCATTGAACTTCAAACCCACATCGATGTAGATATCCTTAAAAGGCTTATTGAATCTAATGGTAGGCAGAACGAAACACATACATCGTGCATCCTATGAACAATTTTTCCAACAACAACGCGGCCATTAACATCTCCTAACTGCATGAACTTGGAATCACGGAGCATCTTCGCAAATGATAGTCCCTGTAAACTCATGAGAATGGAAAATAAAAGTAAATCTAACATGATTTTCCGATGAGCCTGTTCCTATGTTTTCCAGAAACTGATCCAAATCAATTTTACTTATTTCATTACTACTAGTGGTTGCTTCAGCAGCGAGGAAAGCCCTGGATGTTGCTATCCGTCTCAAGGACAAGTATGCAAATCGGTTCATCTGAACTGTTGGGTTCAAGAATACGAGAACAATCATATGAAATAAGTATTATCGTCTTTACGAAACATACGAAATATACAAAACATGCGAAAAAGCGTTATATTTAACGAAATAGGGCAGTTACAATGTGATAATGAACAATGAAAATGTACGTACATTCAAGATGCACGAAGATCACAAGAAATCTAGCATGCGCTCTTGTTCCACTGCGATAGCAGCTTCGATTTAATAAGGCCATTCAAAAAGAAAGCACGGCAATAAATGAGTTGTTTTCATAAAACAATCCAAAAGGGATAAGATCTGAGCAAATGCTTTAACAAAACTACTTATTAGAAACTAAAACAATCACTCCTGAGTTCTGTGTTTGAGGAAGTTCAACTTAATGAGTTATAGAATTAACCAGTATTAATATAATGATGACTAGGTTCATTCAAGAGTGGCTGATTCATCTGTGGTCCATGCGTTACAGTTACTCGTTGTTGCGACGGAACCATTGTCTATAAATAGAAAGCTTAAATGAAATACATGAAGTCTCAACTCACTCTATTAGGTATCGGGATAGGTTTCGAGGCTGGAACTACTGGGATACGTTTTGTAATCATTCCTGAAGGAACCATTGTCGCACTTCTCTTAATACCCGGAGATGATGGCCTCCGAGCTTCTTCTGGTATTAAGTGCCTCCGTTTGATATCAGTCTTTATATGCTTCCTTAAGAGATCAGAATTACTAGAAGTAATAGTTGGACTTCAACAGATATTTGAGGCTAATTGAACTGTGAGAGAGAGGAAAGAAAGGGAGGGATTAGAGGAAAGGAAAGTAGAATCACTTCAACAAGATTGAAGTTCAGAATGCAACCGTTCGGTGGGTGGTATAGTGAACAAGACGATCAGATGTATACTTACGAAGTTCTTCCTTGCACACTTTGACTAATCATATCTAACTCATGAGCAAATCGAGTTAGAGAATCACGTAATTGATCCACATCTTTCTCGGTCCATTTGCTGTAAATGTATTAGTAAGATGAGTACAATTGTATATGAACAGCACCATTCTTCTGGTTCTACATTGGAATGAAGCTGTAGGGTTAAATCGCCCAACTTCTGAAAAGCGTGCCCGGCTGTGAGAAATACTTCGGCCACCTAAACTTTCAGAATTATTTCATGTTGTAAACACTGTAATACCTTGCTGGCGAGGTTAACAGGAGGTTCAGTAGGTGGAAAAGACATAGATGGAGGTGGTTGAGTGTGATTCTGAAACTTCTTCTTGAAATTTGTAAGAGCATTTAACTAACCTGGTTCGACGTTGTGATTGTCACTGTGTTGGCAGTTTGAGAGGGTCCAGCTCCCAGTGAATTGAAATTTCTAAGCATCTTGAAACTATCTTATAATATATAAAACGAAACAAGAAAGAGAAAAGTATCGAACTCTTGTAAAAGAGATCACGGCAAAGAAATGGGTTGGATCAAAATTTTAATCACTTATTAATGAATAAGCTCACTATAACGTGACGGTATAACAATTTGACTATGAAATAATAAGTTAGACCCGTTCAGAGGGAACTAAGTGCCACAGGTTTTCACTGGCCTTCGCCTTGTCCTCCTTCTGGAGCCACGGCATTGGAAATGAACATGAATAATACCACAGGCACGATATACATCCACTGAAATTGGATATGACCCAGTTTTGATAAACAACTTTGATTGCTCACATATTTAGCTAAGAAACTTCTATTGTCTGCTTCAGCTCCATTCTGTCTAGCCTTTCTCTCCTTTTCTACTTTTTGTACAAAAGATAATGTGTCAGGGCTGAAACATGAGGGTTATTCTAAAATGGGGATAAACACAAACAGAGGAAGACTGCGTTTGTTAGAAACATGAACTACTCCTTGTATTTTTCCTTTTTGCACACTTGTGGGCACGCAGTTCTCCGAGTCTAGTTGACCGCCTAAACGTATAGATATGACCTATAAGAAACAAACAACGCTCCGACCAGCAGCAACAATGTCAGGAAAAACGGTAACGGCATGTGTGACCTGCATATCGGGATCAACAGTAACCCAAATATGATGATAAAGATTGGATTGCAGGATAAGACACTGAAAAATGAAGTACTTTGATTTTGATCTGTCCGAGTGATACTTACAGCTTTTGATGTGCTGTATAATGGAACGCTTGGCTTAGTAGAACTAACAGCCTTGACTCTGTATGGTGCATTCACATTCTCATTCAATCTTTTCACATACGAAGTATCTTCCTATAATAAGATGTTCAGAACTCCTACTAAATCTCCAAGTACATACATTGCCTTTGAATAATGCAGTGTAATTTCCATCAAACTGTTTTTTCAAATCCACAACTCCTAATGGGAAAGAATGAGCGAAGTCTGAATATGAATAGACCAGTACAAGCAAGAATCATAGTCATCGTTACCATCAAATGAATATTCAAGATTAATAGTCCAATGTGAAGATACAACACATACAAGAGCTGCCAGAGTGCTCAGTAACATCGTTCGAGCTCTAAACATCATTTAAACTTATTAAAGTGATTCCAGAAAGCAGGTATTGTAATGACAAAACATTACGATGAGAGTATAAGATAGGCGGATCAGTTTATTATTAATATTTCACAGAGATCGGTTAGGAATATCGTCAAGAGTTAAAGCGATTGGAATTAAGAGAGTACAGACTTGGCTAACACAATGTAACACGCAATAACTAATATAGGCAAATACAGAAAAGTGTGATATATAGATATATGAGTAGAAAAAAACAAGATTTAATCTCTAAAATAAAAAAAAAACATGCATATTTCAAAAATATTAGTCCATATCGGAGGGAGTTGGAGTTACCCCTCTGCCTCTACCTCTACCTCTACCTGATCTACCACGGGAGCTTGCGACTGTCGCAAAACTGCGCACCGAGGCTACATCATCAGGCTTGTTATCCTGAAAAAGACAATGTAACTCTTGGAATGGTCTTATCAACTAACGGAAAGAGAGTTTTTGTACAACAGGAAAGGTTCCCAAATATTTTCACGTCCTGGATTAGTAGCGCCTGCTAAAGGACCTCCTTGCTTCTCCAAGTATTTTACACTGTAAAGGGAGAATTCTCTGATTGAGACGTATATGGGGAACTTACAGACTAGCTTTGTCTTGTTTCAATAATTTTCCACTAAATTCTATTATAACCTCTAGATATGACATATTAGGAGGTACGTTATCCTTATCAGTTGACTGAGGATCAAATCCTCCCATAGCAAATTGAATACCATCTCTGTAATGGGAATCAGTTTAGAACAGAAACAATTAGATCATCTCACTTATGTACAGATGCTACAGCTTCTCTGTTTTTCACATGATCATTTCCGAAAGCAACTGAGAAACGCTTAGCAAGGTCTCTTAAACCTTGGAATGCATCACATAGCGGATCTACGGTGACGGTTTTATTTTCCCACTGAAATAAATCAGATATTCAAGAAGAACGAGAACTCAACATACTCTTATGTTCTCATAACAGTCAATTAGAACTTTAGTGACGGCTTTGGAGCAGGCTAGGAAGTTGAGATCGCGACATTTGTACAGCAGTTGTTTAAGCAAATCACCGAAATCAGTGTAGCTCTGAACGGCATGCTTAGAAGAAGTCGAGTGACTGAAGACTCACGGAGCAGTAATATTGAAGAACAGTGGCAGCATCTTCTATTTTGAAAATTCCATGTAGAATCATTTTACAATATTGAGCAAGAATAACACGTTTCTAGATTGAAGAGGTTATAAAGACAGAGAAGGTAAGATCTACCTTTTGCATAAGTTCAACTCTTTCCTGTTGGTCCATTTGTATATCTAAACCGGCGTCAGTGAAAACATTGGACGTCACGAACTGTTGAATTTTGCTGATAAAATCCTGCACAAGATGAATCATAGATTAAGTGTCGAGCCTTATAAGAACTCACATTATCTAGATGAATAACAAGGGAAGCACAGGACGGGTTATCTTTGGGTAACTGATCGTTGAAAAGGAACAAGCAATCACAAAGACAACGGAAGCCCATCTCAACACCAGCAGCTCCTTCTTTCATCATAGTGTTGATAACATGGATGAACTGATCTCTTCTCTTCTTAACTCTCTTCAAGGCTTCCTACAAACTTTCGGATTATAAACATTGTCGAAAATACAAACGCACGTTTTTGTTACTGTCTTGATCGTTCACAAGTCTGTGTAAGTCAAACCCTAACTGCATGCTAAGGAACCAAAATGATTTATCGATGACATCACGCGGGGCTCTTTCTTCGTGATTTGTAACTAAGTTGAGAACAACATCCCACAGATCCCACTTCTTCAAATCGATGTGACTGTAATCAGAGAAGTCACTACGATTACTGGGTTTCAATAAACCTAGAGAATGCAGCTATTCTTCGGAAAGAAGAAAGCATGGCAGCGTCATCTTCTTCATCCCAGCTCTCTTCGTTCATGAAGCGTTGGACAATATGACGGAGTTGTAGAGCCAAACCATCAATAAGCTGAATATCGAACTGTTTTTCACTGTGAGAGATACAACTTACTTTCAAACGATAAGTCTCAGTATACTGAGCCACAGCAGTGTTAGTGGTGAAGTATGTGAGGACTTCAGCAACAGTGAGGAGCATTTCTTCATCAGCATGTTTCTCAACAATGATATCAATTACACCCATAAGTTCATTCAAATTCTGAAAATGGCGAGTTCGAAAGATTAAAAATTAAAAATTCACATTTTCCAATCTAGCCGCCATATACATTTCCAGTTGGAAATACAGTGGGATAGAAATGAGACAGGCAACCTTGTCTCTGTCAGCAATGAACTGTAACTATTATAATGACGAAGGATGGTTTACAACAACACAACCTTTTGCAGAAGTTGAGCGAGGACAGGAATAAGCACTTCACTAAGCTTCGTTCTGTCTTCCACAATCTGTCTATTCTCTTTCGTAGATGGAGCTCCACGCTTTGCAATGGCTCTACCTACGGGAGCTTCTCCAGTAGCAGCTTGACGAACACTACAGACCAAGACTTCGATGAGTTGGCTTTCCATTTTCTCCACTGCAATTGAACATAGTAATGATTATAGTTGAGCAGGTACTTACTTTCATCTCCCAGAAGCAAATCAACTTGAGTCTGCCAATCTTTGATGATCGGGTTAGTATCGATCAAAGCATCAACCAAGTAAGTAGCATGACTATGACACTGTAGAGGAGAGATATATGTAATATTTTCCAGTCAACTAACTTCTCCTTCGATGAAAAATTGAATCAGATCTTTGATGAGAGCCGCATTCTTGTCTTGTCCACTTGATTTCTTATCGTCTACGTTGTGTTGGAAAACCTTGGTGTTAAGGAATTCCCCAGCGGCAACTGCTACTGATCGGTTATTCGAATAAACCAATTCATAAATAGGAATACAGTCTTTCAACTGCAGAACAGATGGGAAAACTCTGAAGAGCTCAATTGAAACAGGTAAATGAATTGAATTGATACCTGTATATGCTTGTGAGTAAAGTACATGATCGAACTGCAGTTTCGTAGTCTTTGTCAGATACCATAGCTACCAAACGATTCTATAAGTACAAACGTATCCAGAACTGAGTGGGACCATTACCTTGAACTTGTTCGTGAACAACTCCAATTTCGAAGACATAACAGGATTTTCGTATAACGGTAATAAAGCATTCACACATTTTAATCTTACTTCAGGGGTCTATAAGCAATAACACATCAAGTTGCGATGGAGGAAGAAAGGAAGGAGCTTACCTTGTCATGCAAAGTCCAACCAATATACTTGAGGTAAGAATCTTCAAGGAAATGATCTGGATAGACCAGCATCCAGTTTCCTAGTTCAGAAATACAGATTCCACGGGTGTCAGGCAATATATCTCTTAAAGATATATCATTGATAGAGACAAGCGGATTCTAGTTACCTGTATCTATGAACGAAAACACTCTTGAAGATGTACTGAAGCATCTGTCTGACATCGTCGATACGTTCTTCAATCTAATAACAAAACAGTTTTTGAAGTTTATATAACTTGACAACCTCATTCTTCTTTGTAAGCAGAACATCTAACTTGTCATTCGTGCCCGCACTGGCTTTCAGTTTCGCCTATATCAGACTCACAATAAGAACCATAGCTCATAAAGATCTCAAACCTTCTCAGCTTCAATCTGTTTTACGTTCTTATCTTTGATTGACACGATCTCCATAGCTACGTCTACCAAAGATGAAGACAACTTCATGGCTGAAAAAACGGATGTGAAACATATCTCTCGGAACTATCTCACCCATGAATGTTGCTGTATGTCGGAAAGCGCGAACTTGGCTGTCAGCCAAGCCTGTTAGTAATTGGATAACAACATCCATCATTCGCTGATCGAAGATGATTGAAGATTTGCATTTATCAATGATTTCCTAAAAGCATCAAAGGTCAGTACAGTGAACTGTAGAAGACAACTTACGTTAATAATGGTTTGAAGGTTCATTCTGAACTTCTTCCACTGAGGTCCAGTCATGACCAAAGGATAATCTCCGGAATCTTCATCAAAATCTTCCGTCATACATCGAATGATTTCACTGAATACATCTATACTCTTCCGTCAGAGCAAAATAAAAACCTGAATTCCATGCATTGTACCATTTGCATCGTGATAACTCCTTTGCATCCACAACAGGAAATAAAAAACTGGAGTAACTTTACTATTGCTGTTTCAGAGACCCGCTCATATTCACTAATCCATTCATCAACAACGAGCTTAAACCTCATGTAAAGCAATTTCCGTAAAAGATCCACTTACATCGAGATGCTTTCCTGATTTCACAGCCCCGAATAAACCTTTCTCTTCCCCCGCACTAAACTCCTGGCCACCAACATTCCTTCTACCAGCACCTCTACCTGTTCCTCTTGTAAGTAGAGTGGAACCACGAGGTCTCCCTCTTTTGGGCTATATTAATACCATGACAAAGTATTGTTGATAGATACATACCGCTGACATAGAAGAAGTATTGCTAAAAGAATCATCTGCGGAAGCTACTCTCCTTTTACGGCCTCGTGTACTGGCTGAGGGTGAACGAAAGACAGCGTCATCATTAGCTGATTCTGATCTGCAATCGCAAAACTCTAATTCTTTTCCAAGAACTCAAAAATTACCCGGATGTTCCGTTCCCACTACTATTCATTTCTGCATAATTAAGTCTTTGGACATGCCTGTTGGAGGACCTCACAACAGTTTGGTTAGTTGTATCGATCATATATTCAGATTTTCTAGAAAAGAAGGTAATGAGACTTGTTTTTATGAGATAAAACAGTTATAAAAGAGCATCGACTGTTTTGCATATCAAAAAACGCATAATACAATGTGACAATTCAAATTACTACAGCCATCAACATAGCATTGGCATGATGCCAAAAGCCTGTAAACGGCATACACGTCTAAACTAAACAAGAACAGCCCACTTTCCAACTATTATACCCCTAGGGATATTTTTTTTTTCTTAAAATTTATTTCTAATTTCGAATTGTTAATTATGCAGAACCGAAGTTAAAACTTGAAAAACAAGCTTGAAGCGTTCTTTTCAAAAACTCCTTTTCCGTTCGGGACCAACAACGTTTCTCTACCGCACCCTGAGGACGCGGCGCGCATTTTCGTTTCTGGTTAATCGACGTGTAGCCACGCTTCGAACGGTTCTAATACATTTTTTTTATTATTGTTAGCTTGTTTTTTTTGAGTAATAGTAATTTGAATAAATTCCGCATTTTTTTAGCGTAGGATCTCATCTGCTGAAACATGGAAGAGGAACAACTTCTCGATTACGAAGAGGAACAGGAGGAGACCCAAGTTCCCCAGAGTACCGACGCCGGAGCTGGTGATGGTGTTAAGAAGCCAAAGGTTCAAAAAAAATTCAATTTTTTCTTTGACAAAGGAAAATATTTATAGGGTACCTACGCTTCCATTCACAGCAGTGGTTTCAGAGATTTCTTATTGAAACCCGAGCTTTTGAGAGCCATCGGAGACTGTGGTTTCGAACATCCATCTGAAGGTATTGCCTAGTAGCGGCCTCTATGATCATCTCATTGTGCTATTTTAGTTCAACATGAATGTATTCCACAAGCCATTCTTGGTATGGACATTGTGTGTCAAGCCAAGTCTGGTATGGGAAAAACTGCTGTCTTCGTCCTTGCTACGCTTCAACAATTGGAACCTACTGATGGAGAGGTAATCGATTATATTCCCTAGATTCAATCATTGTGACTGATTCGCAGGTGTCTGTTCTCGTTATGTGTCACACTCGTGAATTGGCCTTCCAAATCTCGAAGGAATATGAACGCTTCAGCAAGTACTTACCAACAACCAAGGTGGGTGAAGCAGCTGTTTTCGCCTCGCATAGTGAACGGATTTAGGTCGCTGTATTCTTTGGCGGTATGCCAATTAAGAAAGATGAAGAGTTACTTCGCACAAACTGTCCTCATATTGTTGTTGGAACCCCTGGTCGTACACTTGCTTTGGCAAAGTCCGGAAAACTGAAGTTGGATAAGATTAAGTACTTCGTTCTCGATGAATGTGATCGTATGATCGGAGATCAAGGTATGTAAAGGCTGAAAGCAACTTGAGGATATTATAAATTCTTCAGATATGCGTCGTGATGTTCAAGAAATCGTGAAAATGACTCCCCAAGAAAAACAAGTGATGATGTTCTCCGCTACTTTGCCAAAGGAATTGAGAGTTGTCTGCAAGAAGTTCATGCAAGATGTAAGAAATGCTGTTTTTTTGCACGATGGATTACGTTCACGTGGTTGATAACATTCTTGCTCCGATTCGAAATCGTATCGGATGAATTTGAAAGTGTGACATATCAAGGTAACTACATTTAAACTCAATCTATCTTAAGCTCTCTGTTTAGATGTTCTGAGAGAGTCTCTATTACTGGGGACCTGAAACGTTCTCCGTCTCGAGATATGTCACAATATAAGCAGTGTTGGTGACCATCCAACATTCTTACGAGAATGCTTGTACTTACTCGGAAGAGGACTTCTCTTTCTGACCCAGCATTATTTCAAGTTACAAATTATTTTTTAGCCTATGGAAGTGTTCGTCGATGATGAAGCCAAACTTACTCTTCACGGTCTGCAACAGCATTACGTCAAACTGAAGGAATCTGATAAGAACAAGAAACTTTTGGAATTATTGGATCTCCTTGAATTCAACCAGGTAACTGGAAATTTTGCATTCGCTAAACAGTTTCTTTTTCTAGGTTGTTATTTTCGTCAAGTCTGTAGCTCGTTGTAGTGCTTTGCACCAACTTCTTTCCGAGCAGAATTTCCCATCTATTGCTATCCATCGTTCAATGCCTCAAGAGGAGCGTTTATCGCGCTATCAAGCCTTCAAGGATTTCCAAAAGCGTATTCTTGTAGCTACTGATTTGTTCGGAAGAGGAATGGATATTGAGAGAGTCAATATCGTTTTCAACTACGACATGCCTGAAGATTCTGATTCTTACCTACACAGAGTGAGTCATCAAATGCGCGAACAAGTCGTTAATATGTTGTCTTAGGTTGCTCGTGCTGGACGTTTCGGAACCAAGGGTTTGGCTATCACATTTGTTTCTGATGAGAAGGATGCTACTACTCTTAACTCTGTTCAAGATCGTTTCGATATCTCTATTTCTGAGCTTCCTGAAACCATCGATGTTTCTACCTACAGTAAGTTGAATGATGATCAGAGTCAGTCTTAATGAGAATTTTTTCAGTCGAAGGAAGAAACAACTAAGCTTTTCCATCGCCGCCATGTATAACCTTTATATTATTATTACAAACTAATACAATTCATTATTCAATGTGTGTTCCCTATGGTCTCAATTGTTAGTTGTTGTCCACCTTATTGTTAATGTATTCTCCAATAAAGTGTACGTTGGCCATACATCTTTCAAAATTGAATGAACAGAGAGCTACAGAACTTATTATCAGATGGTATCATGAAGTTTCTCATGATTTGTTTTGCAACTTGTCCGTATTATCATACGACAAACGACATGCGATAGACAGTAAACGTATGGAAGAGAAACAGGTTTTCGTTGGCAAAAATATAATTTTCGTTTCTACTTTTCAGCTTTCCTACTAAATCGTTGATTGAGATGTGTGCTTTTCCGTATTCTTTTGTTTGCTTCTTACCTATTTGCTTTGCACGGGAAGAGGGATGGGTTAGGGTAAGGCAGTCCTAATTTGGATTGTGTGTCCTACTGCCTTTGTGCATTCTATAGCTCAGCTTATCTGCTACTATTCCTGAAAACATTCCTTGAATAGAGATTTATCGATTAATATTTGTGTATGTTCATGACCTTGATGCGAAATCGTGCGCGTGGCTATATACTGTTCTCGATTGTCCAAACTTGCTTATACAATCTGATTAAAGAAACATTCTTATATTTCACTTCATATTTTGACTTTTCGCTGTTGTTTTTTTTCTTCTCCAAATGCTGAGTGTGTTGCAGAATGTCTGACCCACTGAATGTATCTGGAGTGGAGCACAGACCGAGTAGTTGGGTGGGATTCGATGAAATTCCTATGACAACACCGTCAGAGGCAAGTCAACTAGTCTACTCATAACTATTTTCATACAGAATATATTTGTCGGATTAATAAAAAAATCATTTAGATAAGGCCGGGATCAGCTGCAGATGAAGGACGACATAGTGTAGCCAGAGAGGAAAGTATTGAAATGGAAAGTGGTAGAGAAAGTGTAGCTGTTGAGGAAAGACTGGATGTTGAGGATGGTGATAGACCAGTAGTTACCCCTCTCCCAACTAATGAAATGATCACTGGTGCTTTCACCTGTGTTTTTGTTGTTAACCATTTCCTCGTTTTAGATCCTTCCAAACTCGGTCAGCCTCCGATAGTGCATGCAATGCAAGAGTACAGTGGCTCCAACTCAATGGAAAAAGATCCACCTGATCACCCAATACCCAGCAAAAGTGAGTTTTTCTAAATATTTTCGACCGAATGGCTATGCTTCATTATGTTTTTGAGATTCTTTTTGAGTGTTATGGGCTTGTAGACTTTACTATGAATCGCAATATATGTCCACTGGGCAAACACACAGTTATTTACTCTTATACAGTATAGCAAGTATTGAGAAAGTCCATTATCAAGCTCAAAGCATTGTTCTCTTGTCAAAATATTTCCATATTTGAAGTTTCCATTTGTGGAAACACGCTAGTTGCTAATCTGATCGCATTAACTTCAGGGAATGCGAAAATTATCACAACCATATACCCTGAGAACAACAGTTGCGCATGGGTCATTCCTCCACGGTATGAACCTTCCAGTATGCCAAATGCTCTCCGAGCAGAAGGAGTTGATGTAACACATTCTAATAACAAGGAAAAACTCATTGATAACTTTTGTAGATCCCCCAATCCGATTTTGTAATGGCAATGGAGATATTGACGAACGACTATCGGTTTCGAAGGTTGCCCACGCAGTTATGACTTTCAAATAAGACTTCAACTTACAGTTTCTCCACTTTGTACTCAAGACTTATAACATTTTGGATGGTTCTATCAATTGTTGTGCTGCTCGTGGTTCTGTTTATGAACACTGAGGTAAATGAGAGAAGCAGTACATCGCTCATAGCATCATTTCCATAGGGCGGACTTCCTATTATGATATTCTGTCTCGTGTGGATATTTGTTCTCTTTGCTGGAATAATTGGATGTGCCATAATAAGGAAGCAGGTTTGAAATATAAACAATCTCTTTTTTTTGTAACATCTCATTCTAAAGATCCGAATCGGGCTGCGTCACTCTGTCCAGTCGGCAAACAAAGTTCTGATTAAGAACAACATTCTCGCCGGGGTGGAAGATCGTGGACAATTGAGTTGTCATAAAGTTGTGGTGAGTGATTCGTTCGTAAAACATAAAAACAAACGGAAAATAAACTAGGAAGTTTAACTTTGAAAAAAAACTTTGAAAACACAACCGTCCATTAGTTCTGCAAATTTGAAATAAAAATAAAATTTGGCGTCATGTTGACGTGGGTACGTACTACGCAGTTTACGTATAGGATTAAATTAACACTCAAACTATTTCAATTTCCCAAGATTTTGAATTTGTAGATAAACTTCCTATGGTTCGACATCGAAGATTGTATTCCTGATTTGGAGAGACTCATAAGAATTGAAGCCAGTGGTGGTGCTGTAGTTTATGGAGGTGAAACTCTCTCAGCTTCAGGCAAGCAATTGACGAAACGTGAAGTAAGATAATCACTATCAATGTTCCCACACTCCTTATGTTTACAGATCGAAGACAAGGCTAAGCAATTAATTTTGAAATACAGTCAGGGATATGTGAAAGACACCGTCAAGGTAAATCCTATATAAACATCTTTACTTCGAATAATAATCTTAGAAACGTCTTGTTTTCCCTTCGAGGCCCGGACTGGGAGTGTCAGAGTTCGTGCCCCGACATTGTGCAAAGCAACAGTGTTTGTGTCAATACATTGATAAGGCGAGTTATTATGTACGCATATGACCTTATCGTTGTTTTTCAGAAACATTTCAATCGTTCTCCCAAGAAATGGTATGACCATTTCGTCTAAAGGTCGTAAATGCTCACAAACTTTCACTTAATTCATGATGATTTTGCCTTTCATATCCCCCCGCACGAGTTCAGGATTTCAAATCCGTGGTATGCTGGTTATCTACCTGTAAATTGTGTATTATGACATAATCTTAATAATAACTAATAGAATTTTATATATTTGCATATTCTGTGATAATATATATATATAGCAGTTAATCTTGTTTTTCATTTTACAATGAATGATATGGACTTCCTTCAACATGCTTGTACCTATTCAATCATTCTCATTCTTATTTGAGGGATATAGATGCCTGTGCTCAAGATCTCAACTTCTCAATTGAATCTCACATCCGTTTTATTAAATGGCCAAAGTTTCAGGTAGTTATGTCTATCATTTTGATTATGGGCATACCAGCGGCGGGAAAGTCTTCTTTGATCTCTGAGCTTCGACAGACTAGAGATTGTCATATTTTTTCTTGGGATCACCTCGTTGGGCACAAAGTTCAACAATTCGAGGCTCATAAGGCTAGAAAGCAGTTCGAAAATCAAATCCGCCAATTCTTAGAGACAATTGAGTCGAAGCCTATCGTTTTAATCGAAGATAATTTTTATCTTCAAAGTATGAGACGTCCTTTTGAGCGAATGGCCAGGAAGTATGGGCTGTCCTATATGGTCGTTCACCTCTCGTGTGCTCTAGACGAAGCATTAACACGCAATTCTCGGAGGGATGACTTAGAACGGGTTGATAAAGAGAGTATCCGAAAGATCTACAAAGAAATTGAAGTTCCTGATGATGCGTACCTATTTACGACCATTGAGGATTTGAACAAACAGATCGACCAGTTGAATGAATTAAGTAAAACACTTGTTGCGTCCCGCGATGTGCCAAGTAGCCAGGAGGGCGCTTCGCCACCTTCTACTTTGGCTTTATTCGAGAAATCAGTCCGTCAGTTAATTGGCGATTTGGTAAAAGAGGGATATGATGGTCGAAGATTAAGCGTGGCGAAGAAGCTGGTAATGGAGGAAGTGAGAAAAATGAGTGACCAACAGGCTTTGTCTGTTGACTTCTCACGCGATCTACTTTTTCAATACTATTGGTGCGTACTTGTTGGTAGAAGTCTATGGACTGAGCGTGTACTTCAATCTTTTCTTTAATATTTTCAAAGATGCAAGTGTACGTTAGCTTTGCAGATGGATTTTCGAAAACGGGAGTTTCTTTGGAACAGCAATGGAGCGTCTGTGGAAAATAACTAGGAAAGATGAGACTCAGGTGCTTGCACGATTCCAGAATAACAAAGCTCTCTTTCTTCAGATTGAGTATTCTGCTTTAGCTCTAACACCCGATTGTACTATGAATCATGAAGAGATTTTATGTAAATACTTACAGGTTAGGGGGACAAACATCAATGAATAGAGTAATGTTACATTCAGACTAACGTTGATCTCGAAAAGTTATGTATCGATTGGTCAGAAGCTGATTCTCACGTGAGTAAATTACTGGAGGCTCACGATGATCTAAAGGGAATCAGAATTCTGGATCAAAACCCTCTCGAAACGTTGTTCGCTTTCATATGCTCAGCTAATAATAATATAAAGAGAATATCGAGTAAGGCTTCAGACGGCTAGCCTAAAAATATCTTTCGTTTCTAGAAATGGTCAACCGATTGTGCATTTTGTATGGATCAAAACTGGAGCTTCAAGCTGGCATCTCTGAAGAGGATTCGAAAATTGTTGGAGGAAACGAGGGCATCATGTATGCTTTCCCTACCAGTTCGTTTGTTCGCATGAAGCTCTCAATTATGATCATCATTTATCCAGTTCAACAAATGGCCGTTCATCTCCCAACTATGGAAAATCAACTTCGTCAAGACGGCTTCGGATATAGGGCTGCTTATATAGCGTGCGTCATTGAATGTTTGTCGTAATATTTTTTTTTGTTCAGGAAAACAGTCAAGATGTTAGCTGATGCCAAAGACGACTATTTGCATTCATTAAGATCACAAGATCTCAAAAAGGCAAAAGAAGCCTTGCGTGAATTCTCTGGCGTAGGGCCAAAGGTTAGTACCTACCTAACGAGTACTTCCGCAATTCTCCATTTCCGGTTGCGGATTGTATTTGTTTGATGGGCCTTCAGAAGCATAATGTTGTTCCTGTGGATACTCATGTATATAAAGTAAGTATCTATGCATTATATTGTTATGAGAGTTTACAGACGACACTGCGGGATTACCAGCCGACGCTCTCTGCTAAGTCTCTGACTCCTACTGTTCATGACGAAATAGGTAATATACGTTTCCGATCCGGAAAAGTTTCCGTTCCTTTGCAGGATCATTTTATATTGAGAAGTTTGGAGAATACGCGGGATGGGCACAAGCTTTATTGTTCAATGCTCAGTTATCTCAGAAGAGACCTAACTCTTCAAAGCAGAATGAATCTCTTAAGAAGAAGAAAAAGAAAAATTGATCTCATATTCTGTGATCTCTGTGAAAGTAAGAATGAAAGAGTTTGCTTTTCCACATATATACATACAAATGGATATAAATTAACTATTGAGTTAAACTGATATCTTTCTCGAACATTACGTTCTTGACCTCCAACTTCTCACGGAGTTTATAAGCGAGTCTCTGCCAATCGCTTGTGGGCACCGGCTGTAAAAGAGTTGATATTTTTCTATAAACAAGCAAATCTTACAATTTTGGCAGTAAGTTTGACAGTTATTTCTTTCACTAAAGGAGTACTGGAGCCGTCTGCATTGCATTCATCGGGGACAGTTCCCACATCGGTGCCGATACAAGAATTTGGTACTGCATTGGCCGCGGCGGGACAAACATCAAAAAGCTGGCATTGTTGAGCAGTGTACTTGGTCTCAACAGTTAAAGCGTTTGGATCCATTTTGTTCTCAGCTAATATGAGTTTAATCTAAAACGAGCAAATCATGTTAGCTTTGCACTCTTAGCTTGCCGCTTGATCGACATCATTTTTAGCATAAGTCACAGCTTTAGCTGATGTTGTTGGTTGTCCTGGTCTATTTGTAGCATGGAAAGTCCATCTAGTAATTGGGCTAACTTCAAGGGTCATAGTAACAGAGTTGCTCGAATTCGTGTCTGAAAAGAAGTTGTATGCTGATTGAAAACATTGCCTCACCATTTTGCGTCGGATTGAGTGGGGCACATGCGAAGGCCGTGGAGACCAAGAGACAAGCTACAAAACCTATCATTTTCTTAAAAGTCCTGTTCGAAATCATCTTATATACGCTGCTCCAAATCTGAATATCAAAAAGAAATTTACATATTTCATAAAAATGTGTTTGAACAATCTGAATGCTTTCAGAGTATCGCGCGTTTACAACTTTTTGTGCTTTCCGTTGTATCATGTGAAAGTTGTCAAGAAGGAACTAGAAAGAAGTAATGAAATGAACAACATACCAATTATTATGAATAGAGAGGATGTTTCAATGTTTCTGTGAGAAAAACAGAATCGGTTCCTCCTTTTATACTCATCTCTACTGACTTTTGGTCGGCTCCATGACTCTGTCTTCAATAGGCTAGTCACCTATAAAAAATCCCACTCCTATATTTGTATGTTTTCGTTTATTTGCTGGACGTACGAGTGAATAGCCATGTTATCGTTCAGCTTTTCCTCAAAGAAGCTACATTTGATTGTTGCATTTTATAGAAATATACGAATATCAAGGACAATGTCATAACTGCATGCTATATTGCTATATCAAGCATAACGCATTTTGTTGTTCGATCATTGAGCTGTTTTATTAAATTTTAAAAATTTAAAAAGGTATGCATATGACGTTTCGAGCTAAAACAAGCAAATTGGCGAGTGACGTGTAACGGCGTGAGTTACGTGACAGGCAATACTCATTTTTTGAATGTTAAGCGTGGTGAACGGTTGGTCTTCCTTCGCTTCGCTTCCTTAAAGTACACGCCTATATGGGATTTGGGATTTATCTGGTCGTCTTTTTTTTCTGGTTTAATTTATGAAAATGCAAATAGGACATCCGCGGAATAGGCTCGCTAACTGGCGCATGATACTTCCAAAGTTTACAATTTAATAAACGAGCTGCTAGATGAAGAACTGACAAAGTTGCAAGCAAACGAGCGCATCCCATGTTAATAGGTATTGTATGTAATCATATCCTTGAAAAATGTGACCAAATTGCTTAAATTCGACTGAAGGTTATTCCGCCACAAGATAAAGTAAACTCGACGATAGTTTGATGACGCAAATACTGCAATTGTTGTTTCATAATTGCTATAAATATATATTAAAGGGCTATTTGGCGTCTTCTCCATTACTCTCTGTCTCTCTCTCTCTCTCTATCTCTTCATTGGCGTACTTTGAATTCCTCAACTTAATGATATTTGAACTCGTAATTAAACGAACTTCCCATCTATTCTGTGGCGATACGAACTGGGCTTGTGTTAATTATGAAAAACAATATATTTCGTATGAAATGTGCTTTTATTTTTTTTTAGTTCTCACTCTAATTGAAAGCTGTTTTATTTCCTCCGCTAGCCAACTAGAGTTCTCATTCCACAAAACAACAGATATAAATGATTCAAGTCTTTTATTATCTTCTGGTCTTGTATGACTTCTTGGGGGTAGATTGAACAGCTCCTCTACTCTCGTTTGTTGATTGATGCTGCTGCACAGATGATAGGAAACAACTTTTTTGAGCTTTTTTTTTCTGTTCAGCAACCACATAGGTTGCTAGACTTCTGTGACATCATTGGACATTCACCTGTTATTAAATTTTCATGACGTGCATGAAATTGAGTATATATGAAAACTAAAAAGAAGAGCAACTTTAACAAACTTTGTCCGAAGGAAAATGTCAACCTAATTGAAACTTGTGATTGTGGTTTGGAATGAGATGATGACATTTCCCATTTACTAATATTTTTAACCTTCATTTCCTACATTTCTATCTTGAGTAGAACAAAAAACATAATATGGTGATTATCCCAAGAGTTACTTCGGTTAGCACCACTCTTTCTTCTAATCTCCAGCCGATTTCTATAGCCCCCAACATTTTGATTACAAAATGCTGTCAACAGGAGTGCAGAGGCTAAAAGAGATAAAACTTTTTTTGCCTCTTCTCGAACCTTAACTGAGCGCGCTCCTCAACTAAACTAGGACGATATGACGAATTTCTTATTGTCTTCTTGCTGCTACGTTAGATTACTCATCCTGTTTTTCCTTTAAATTGGCTGCAACTTCAAGATTGGAGCAACTCATGCGAGCAGCCGGCAATAGTCCGGATGTCCAGTCAGCCACCTAAGTTTGTTTATTAATGCATATATATGATTCTCTTTTTTTTTGTTCCCATCACTTGCATAACAAGAGAGGAGGAGTTCGAACTTCCACACCCCCTATATATTCCATGTGCTTCATCGCAAATTAACTGCAGTAAATACACATATTTGAATTCTACTCGTCTCCGCCTCTTCTCGACGTGAGATTGAGCCCCACCAGTTTTCATTTCTGCTAAGTAAGAGCTCCGAGTAAGGAATACTTAGCCTAATCAAACATTCCTCATGCCATTGTGTATGAGGTAACCTTCATAATCATATTTTTGTTTATTATTATCTGCGGTCACGTGTCGGTTCTGCGTCAAAGTTATTCATAACTATAGATGACGCCGTCGCCACTCGTTTCAGCCACCCTTTATTGGCATTGTAATTCAATTGGAGTTCTGAACTCCCGCATGCAAGCCACGAGCTGTCTCAATAGAGCGAGTATGATAGTAACTCACCTGGAAAAGAGTTCCTTTCATCAGTTCCTTCGCCTAATATGGTTGGACGTCACTTATCGCCTATTAAAAACGTTTCACGCCTGACTTGTGGCTGTAAATTGCCTAATTACCGAGATATCTGACACACAGATAGCTTTTCATATACTGTGCTTTTTGAAGAAAAAGTAAATAAGATGATTAGGCTTATATATTCGGTGAACGCTAGCAAATAGTTCTGTAACAAAGCTTGTTTTCATTCTATTCGTCACCCACATCCATCCATCTGCTATATTTAAAGTTATAAACTTTCCGTTAATAAGCTTCGCTTCCTTCTTCACATGCCTCTTCTTTAATCATCACTAGTAATTATGCAGATTAATCGGAACAACCTGACACTTGGACTTATTTATCTTCTTCTCACATTCTCCTTCTCTGTGATAGATTAGCCCTGCCTCCACATGTTATGTAGTTCTTCCACCCGAAACATATCATTCATGTTGCTGACATGTTCATCTTGGTTTTTTTGTGATTTGAAACGAAAATATAAAAATTAAAAACACGTTCAGCCCTTCCAATGCTCCTCCCGCTATTTATATCCTTCGCATCTCACCAATAAGAAGGCTATTTCTAAATTCAGCAGCCAGATATTTAATAGTTCCAGTTACTTATTGCCAATTCCACTGAACCTCAGCTATTTTGATAATGCTATATAGACTACTGACTGTTGACTTCCAAATAGAATGCAACCGCTCTGAAGACGCTTCTTTCTCCTTTTCCTAAACTTGAGATTAAAACAACTACTGTTATTCCGCCGACGCACAATTATCTTGACGTCACTTAAGCTTAGGAACGCTCTGATTCCTAAAATATACTTAATCTTAAAAATAACAACGAGAAGATACATACCGTTGTTGGTGATTAATAGGATGTATGAGTGTCACAACATACAATCCATGATCATTGGTATATCAGGGATTACACAGTATTTCCCATAAATAACAATGATGCTAACCATCGAAACATCTTCTTAGAGATATCTTTGCATGATTGCGTACTAGTGAATTCGTCACGCATTTTAACATCACAATTCACTGTGATCAAAAATAAACCTTCTCGAGACATCTCTCTGAATCCAAGACCATGAAATTGCCTACTACCACACTAATTCTGATTCAGATGATCCTACTAGAGACATTAAGCGAAAATGAGAAGCTTACAAACCACATTCATTCCACTATCCGCTTACAAGTCCACTGAGTTTCGGCACCTGCATCGTTCCTCTCCATTGTATATCATTTTTTCTTTTCATGAGCACCATTTGAATGCCTTTGAAGCGTATTTTCAAACGTCGCTTGATTTAGTACTTTGTTCTGAAGCATCCATTATTTCATTACCATTCTCGCCATATTGTAATTCAAACACCTATTAGATTTAACCAATACCTATATTGCAAAAAGCTCAAACCTTTCTTTCGTTAGCTTCCGGCTTAATCCCTTGTTAACCATTTCAGGAAAACTCCCACATAATACTTCATTTCCTACGGGAACAGATGACCTATGTTCAATATTCGAAGTCGCCAGTCTCAGTCATTAGAGAATCATTACGAACTTCAAATCATTATGCTTTCACACAATGAGACTTCATTTCTTGAATTAAGCTAAACGAATATTCTATGATGTGCCTTTCCAAAAATTATTTTATGTAAACACTTATTTTCTAAAAAACACTCAGCTTTTTGTCTTGTTTTCGTTTTTTGATATCTTTCTAATCCTTCTTCCATATTTGTATTGCTTTTAATTTAGACGATGGGTTACATTACTATGACAACTGCCCTTCTCACCGTTTTTATTTGTTTCTGTTCAATCGCGCAATGTTCGATCGATGCAGAAGAAGAACCTATTCGACAGGAAATTGACAAAATAAATCCAATTGTGAGGTGAGCCAAAACTTACAGTGAACAGTCCTTTAAAGGATCTCTCGGAACTGTCAATCATTTCATTATTTCTTCCATTTTAGGTATAGAGTAACAAATACTCTTCGCAAAAAACTCCCACAACTTGAAGTTCTCGCTCAAAGGTATCCCTATCTCTGAAAACGAACTCCTATTACTATTGTGCTTTAGAAGAAATGAATACAGAAACTGTTACTTCTCCCCTATTCAATGTCAACTACCTGTGAGACGGGAAGGACTGTTGGCAGCTATTCTTCGCGAAAGCAACGATCCAGTTACTGATCCAACTCGACCTAAAAGGCTTTTCCTCTTTTAGAAACAATAAAATATGCCACTCTTCCCATTAAGAAACGTTCTATTGTAATCCATCTCTCGTAGCTGATCTCAATTGTGATGAATATTGAATATTTAAAGTTTTTCAGCTCTTTAGTTGAATAAACGTTTGACCTTGTTATGAAATAGACTTTCAGAACTAAACCTCATTCAAGTCAGTTGACTATAATGGGGAGCCAACCGCTAACAGCTAACTGGGAACCGAAAATTAAATTGTAAACGTTTTCCATTTCCCGTGAAGTTTACGTGAGGTTCATCAATTTCATTTTGAACTGAAAACGAAACAATCCCGGTCGGTTTTTCATGGATAGATCGTAAGTCCTTGTATATCTACTATAACAGTTATTAAATGTTTTTGTTTGTCACCCGAGAAGAGCGACGGAAATGATTCTAGCACCATAGAAGCTATACTAAATGAAATTTTACAAAAAACACCGTATGCTTACAATAAGCTTCTTAAATAAATCATAGATTAAAGGGAGCACGATGGCAATGACGCCATTCTGAACAGAAGTTTCGCCATCCCTTCAGGGCCCAGGTAAAAGAAGTATCCTGCAGATTAGCAACAACCACACACTTTGCAGTACAACTCCTTTTAATACCCCAATCAATGACATGAAGAAAGCACGTCAGGAAGCTACTCCAAACACCCTGAGAATATCACTCAACGAATTTTTAAAGAAAATAGGATAATCTCTATATATATACATCTAGATGATATATATATACGCATATAGAGACCGCCAAAGTACTACCATAAACGATGCCAAATCTAATTGAACTTATCGCGTTGAAATCAAGTGCTATAAGTATTTCAGAAAAAAGGGGAAAATAGAACTATTACTCCAGAAAAGTTAATTTTAGACACACGCGATGTTAAATTAGTCTTATTTATACTTCTGGATGTGTAGAACTTTAAAACAATTGAAAACATTCATGAGCTTTAATGAACGTTTCCTGTTACGCGGTAAGATTTAGGGGGTGGAGCTCAAACTATCAACTATTTACGTAATAAGACGGGATATGCAGAGGATCACGATAAATTATTAATGTCGTAGCATTCTCAACACAAATACAACTGAATCGAGTTGATTCTTTGAACTACAAAATGAAGTCGAGCTCTATTGACAAAACGTCAGACCTTCAAAAAATTAGAAATGAAAGATCTACTGGTACGGTAATTATGATAATTTTTGAAAGCTTGAAGTGATCTCTTGGTTGAATTAAGGGTTTGACTTGGTTTTACTTTCTCATACGTGATTCTAGGGATCGTTGTTGCTTTTCGCATTCTTCATCACAACACTTATCCCAGAACTTATCTTTCTGTATTCTTGGAATTATATTGAATTGACATTTTTACATTTTACCAGTCGAACAGGTTTTATACAAGTTTATATGATTTCAGTTTTATATGAAGGAACCCGGAGAAGGGGATGTAGTAGACGATATAACGTTTTTCGCTAGGTTGAAAGATGATGAAGCGAACGAAGAATCTAACTCTTCAGGTTAACATAAATTAAAATAATAATAATGAGCTAGGCTTTTAGGAGTCTTATCTTCACTCTTCGGGCGGTTATGGCGATCAGATGGAAGCTCTTCAGCCGAAGGAGCAACTCCCACCGCAGCAGCAGCTAGTTCTACAGAACAGAGGATAGATGCTGATACTTCAAACAAAACTGAGGTGTCGATAGCTCAAATAAAGTGACAACGGAGAATTGTAGGTAGAAGAGGGTGCGGAAACGTCATCTTCGACCAAAGGTGTTCAACCTGATGAGATAAGCATAGGTTAGCTGATTGTTGCACTTTTTCATTTATAGTTTAGTTTGTAGGAAGTCAAGATTCAGACAAAGTCAGGCGAATGATACCATCCAAGTTAACTAGTATATTCAAAGGGAATAAGAACAAACCTAGGCAGAACTTAGTAGATTATAATAGGAGCATGTTCAGTTAGTAACAGAGATGGTTCTTCCATTGATAATAATACTTTAGAACAGTACTGGATGCCGGACTCCACTGGCAAGGAGTGCTATCAGTGTGAAGAACGATTCAATACACTGAGGTTTTTCGAAAGAAATCCTTACATCCATTACGAGTTACGTTCAGGCGAAGACACCATTGTCGTCTGTGTGGCCAAATTTTCTGTTCCAAATGTTGCAACATACACGTTCCGGGAGCGACCTTGGGTTTGATCAGTTCTCAAGATTTCCAATGTACCTCGTATGGTTTAGGTTTAACTGGAGATCTACGATTATGTGATTATTGCGCCAAAATAATGGCACAATACTTACCTCCTGAAGCGGACGTTCGTCAAGGTTCTGAGGAAATGACTGCGCCTTGTAAGTCATTAACCAGTTTTACATGTAACTTGATACGAGGCAATTTTTCATTTCAGCCTTACCGGTGCTGGCTAACAACTTCCCTGTCGAAGAAGCGATGCTCGAGCAAACTATCACATCTTCCGTTATCTCTACCGTATCAGCAGGTTTGTTTTTGCGTTTTACGTTTTTATTGATGTTTTCTTAAGGAAATCTGATGTGGTCAAAACCACCGGAAATGAAGTCTGCTTCTAGCCCTGAGACGGAGAATTCTCTCTCTTTTCCTCCGAAACCTTCAAAAGAATCCTTAACTCTTCTAAGTGTTCAAGACTTATATGCTCAACACGAAGGTAGATTGAATAAGAGTCGATCAAATGTAAATCATACATAGCACTCCCGCAAACAACGTTTTTGTTTTCAGTTGACCAGTACTTCGTTGTGTGAAGAAGAGGAGTCTGGTCCTGATTGGTTCAGGAATATGGATTCAGGACAAAGTTCTTCTTCCAATTTAATAAAATCAGATGTAAATGAGCTGATGATGAAATGTTCTAACTAACTATCTTTAGAACAACTCAGAGCAGAAGGTTGATATTTCTCGTATCTCCACTATGGATTTCGATGCCATCTCTCCTTTAGATCTCTCGGATTGTAAGAATAATAAGGATCCTATAGATAGAAAGTAAGTCGAACTTGAAATGTTCTGGATAAGTTCCCTTTACAGGATTTCCAATCCCTTATCCGGTAGAAATACCCGAGCCTTCGATGGAAACATCGATCGAGCATTCGATGAGAGAGCCGAAAAAATGTTAGATTACCTATTCAAACGAGAATGTATAAGTGATGAAAGGTCAGACTACTGAATTAAAACTCCTATTAAGTTGGAATATTTAAGATGGAAACCTATTCTATTAACATTAGCAAGGCGCATATCACATACTCTGAGAATAGATGTGGATAGAGCTAAGGACTCCATGAACATTCTATCATATGTTCATGTGAAAAAGCTTCACGTGGATCAACCTGAGCCATCAGCCGAGGTTCATAAGCACATTTGAACTGTGTTATTCATCTTAATTTCAGATGCTTTGGGGAGTGGTGTGTGCTAAATCTGTGATTCATTCTTCAATGAGTTCTGAGTTGCAAAATGCTTCGGTAATGATTGTTGCTGGATCGATCGAATATGAACGAATACAAGATAAACTGTCGTCCATTGAACCTATTATATGTCAAGAAGCGGAGTTTCTCTCTAAACAAGTGAGTTCTCAGATATTCAGTTTCATCTAGCTTCTTATCTCTTCAGGTCGACAGAATCTTGTCGAGAAAACCTTCCATTCTTTTGGTGGAGGGAGTCATTTCTAGAATCGCAGCTCAATTGCTGCATAAGGCCGGAGTTGTTGTTATCATCAATGTGAAGAAGAAGTAAGTTCAACGTGTACATTCGAGATTTGAGAGTTCATTATAGTGTTTTGCTACGAGTTGCTCGGACGACTGGAGCAGACATTTTGCCGTCATCAGATGCTCAACTCATTCAGCAGAATATTGGATTCTGTCCTGTTTTCACTCAGAGAATTGTCAATTTGAAAGATGGTGGTCAGAAAATTCTTCTGGTGAGTCTATACTGTTAAGTGGAAAGCAACGTTCCTCATGATTGTAGAACTTCAATGATTGTCCACCTGAAAGAGGATGTTCTGTTCTTCTGAAGGGAGGTGACATGCGGGAGCTTCGTGCCGTAAAAAGAGTATTACACTTTATGATTTCTTTAATTTATTCATCTAAGTTGGAAAAGTCTTTCTTAACCTTGTTTGGGTACGTTTCATTGCTTTTCGTTCGTACAAGTCTTATTGTAGTTGTCGTATTGCTGGAGATGAGGAGTGCAACTGTGATGTGTGCTTAACCAGAGCCGAGAACATTGAGAATAACACGGATCAGGTATGGATTTTGGACGATTAAACCCTATTTTGTATTTTTAGTCCAGTTTCGAAACTGCTTTATCAGAAAGTATATTGAGTCTATCCCCATTCATTCGCTATGAGCCTCCGTTCTTAGAAACAATGCGTGGAAGGTTAGTTTTGTCAGTTGATCACAGTAATATACTACATCTCAGGAAATGTACACTGTTGCCATATTTCAAACAACCATTGTATCGTTTTGGAGTCGCGGAAGATTTCTTAGAAATCGCTAAAGAAGAGGCGGAAGATGTTCAGAACAAAGAACTAGCCGAGAAGACGGTACTTTTAATTTGACTTCAACGTATATAGTTTGCTTTGTAGTGTCCACCTCCAGAATATCCTCGTCACAAGTTTGCTAAACAAGATCTCACGAAGCCTGAGTCCAATATGATTGATAACGTTGCGGCTTTTCGTGCTCTAGGAGGAAGAGTTTTCCGTAAAAGAATCCACGATGTACCGGAGAAAGTTGTAGTCAATGGAAGGCGCTCAGTATGTACTCAAAGTCAAATGCTTCATCTTATAAAACCGTTCAGAGTATGGACAGACTAAGATTTAATAATGTGTTGTGTCCACTTGTCCATCAACGAGTTGCGGTCCTGTTTGGGTCTTTCTCTCCGAAGTCTCCAAACGCTCCATCGTTCTGTGTAAGACCGTGGGTTCTCAGTATAGAATTCTATGGAAACCATGATATGACTCTGGGAGAGTTTTTGACGAAGTTGGCTTCCACTTATGGTATCTGTATCGTTATCAACCATCCTTTCAGATACTGCTTCAATAAATCTTACGAGTGCCCTTCAACAAACTGCGAAGTCCCTATGCTCGATCACTCTAGAAAATTAGTCTATGGAAGGATATGCTTGGAAGTTTCAACTCAATTTGTTGTCCAAAATGGAACTGATCAGGCATCAGTAAGTAATAATGGACAAGTTTTATGCTGGAACTATTGTGCAATGTGAGTTTGAGTCTCAAGTTCCCGAAAAATATGTGTTCATTATAGTTGTAAAGCTTCTTCTCCTCTCCAAGCAATGACACCTTCTGTTTGGCATCTTTCTTTTGGAAAGTATCTCGATTACTTGGCCAATTCCTCATTCAGTAAGGGATCGATATCATCCCCTTCTCAGAATCAGTGCAATCATTGCTTTTTCCACCAGCATACTCACTTCTTTTCGCAGCAAAACTTTGTGACCACGTTCAAAGTTACTCCAGTTCGTCGAAGAGTCTTAACGTTGAATATTCTCTTTTCTTAAGATTCGGCCGTTCGATGTGCAGTTCTCTCCAGTCATATGTAGAATAGTTCCGCAACAGTTTAGTCGTCAAGCTTTGATTGACGGAGTCACTAGGTTTTGCTCGTGTCAGATACGTATGTGAAATATATTCTTCCAGAATGGCCGCACTTGCTGAAGATATAGTGAAAGTAGCGGAAGAGAGGCTCCAAGTCTTTGTGAAGCATGAACACTATAACCAGTATGGAGTCACTTACCACACAGTTCTTCGTCAACAAATCGAAAACACTTCACAGATCATAGGGTTAGAATTAGCTTACCGTTAGAGATAACTGTCAGTTATAGGAAGCATAACGTTTATGCCCAAACGTTGTACCAGCTGGATAGACAAGTTATTCCTTCGAACGATATGTATGCTGTCAAGGCTAATGAAACAATGATGTATATCCGTGAAGGAATTTACAACTTGATTACCACATGGAATGATCAATGTAATGTGTTTGCTGCTTCCATGCGGGCTCTGAAGAAAGATGAGAATCCAAATGAGGTATGTGGAAAGAAGCCTATCTATAATTGGTTCTTGTTTGAAGGGTACGGAAATAGCATTAGAGAAGATAGATAATCCTTTCCCTGCTTACTTACATCTGAGTCTAAAACTCCAGCCGAGTGTTGGAGTAGTAGTTCGTGATATCCAGGTAATCTATATAAGTTTTTGGTGTTAACTCATTCGAAAACAGGATAGCCGAGGAGTCTACAAGCCAGATATTGGTAGTATCATTGCATATGCGCTTTCTTCATCGAACTATGAAGAAGGTCGTTTGCGTGCTCGTTCCAATGCTGGCGCTGAGGATATCCCTATTAACTTGAATTCTTCATCTCTGCCTCAAAGCGAAGCTTCACTGAACGCGGAGCATTTAGAAATTGAGTTTGAGGATAACTCTACTGCTTACTACGTTAAGGTACGTCAATCAGTTCCACACGTTTCCTCAATGCATCGGTTAAGGCCTATTTCGCTGAACGATTCCGCTTATTGAGAAAGCTACTCGTGGCTGAAGGAGAAGAAGCCTTTATTCGTTCGCTGAGTCAAACAACGTTCTGGACACCACAAGTATGATTAGTAGTATGTATATGCGGTTGAGTAATCGCTCCAATGTAGGGAGGAAAATCGGGATCCTTTTTCTACCGAACACAGGATAACAGGTTCATAGTGAAGCAGATGAGTCGATTCGAGATACAATCTTTCGTGAAGTTTGCTCCCAACTATTTTGAGTACATCAAAACTGCTGTAACGGAGCATAAACTTACAACATTATGCAAAGTAAGCTTACAGTCGTGTTCAGCATTCATATTATTCGTAGGTCCATGGCGTTTTCCGAGTTGGTGTGAAGAGTAAAACGACTCAACTCAAAGTAGATATCCTGGTGATGGAGTATTTGTTTTATAAACATAATGTGGATCGTGTGTGGGATCTGAAAGGCTCTCTCCGCAACAGGTGGGTGGTGAAATATCATTTAGAGATACACGGCGAGAGGCATCGGTTGCATTAATTTCATTCCTTTTCAGATTAGCGACAACTGGTGGTAATAACTCTACCGATGTTTTATTGGATGAGAATTTAATGAGCGATTTATGGAATAACCAACTCTATGTATACCCGCACTCAAAAGCTGCGTTAAACCAGGCTATCTCAAACGACAGTCACTTCTTGTCCGCACAGGTTGGTATTTCTTGAGATTATCACAATGGTTTTCATATTCAAGCACGTCATGGATTACTCCTTGCTTGTTGGAGTAGATGAGACAGATGGTAAATTAATATTAGGAATCGTCGATTATATGAGAACTTACACGTTGGATAAAGTATGTTGCTATATCCGTTCAGTTGACATTTTTTGATTCAGAAATTGGAATCTTGGGTAAAGATCGTCGCCATTCCTGGCGCTCACCTACCGACTATCCTCAGTCCTGAGCTATACTGCACTAGGTTACACAGCTTTGACGTATTTCTTAATCTCTGTTCAATTAAGGTTCTCTGAAGCTATTGATACATATTTTCCTGTGGTGCCTGATCAATGGACTGGTCTTGGATCAGCGGTATCCTATTAAATACTTAGAAAGTTAACATATCATATGTATATATAAGCGTGCTAATTTATTTCCACTAATAGCTAATAGAATGGGATAACAAGTTGTAAATTATTTTTTTGATTTTGCTGGTCTTACCCTGTGATACAAATTTTTATTAAAAGTTTACTCCTTTCATGTCTTTTCGATACACACACAGAGTTTGTTTTACAAATTTTTATTATCTGTATTTCATTAAGGTACAACGAATTCTTAACGGCGGCTTCCATCGTCGAAGAAGATTCCTCCGTCGAGGGCACAGTACTTGGGGCAGATTCCCTTCTCTCCTTCAACTCCATCCTTTCCTGGGACTCCTGGCTCTCCTGGGGTTCCATCGTTTCCTGGGGATCCGGCTTCTCCTTGTGGTCCCTTCTCTCCTGGAGCACCTGGAGCTCCGTCCTTTCCTGGATGTCCAGCTGGTC